GTGGACTTCAAACTTTTGCTGAGACACCTGAGGTAGCTTGGTCATGGGAGCCGTATGGATTCGTCGCGCATACCGAAACAACTATTATATGGTCGGCTGAGTATCTGAAAGCGGGATGTGGGGAAACCAAATTTACGTTATCAGGACTTGATCAAAGTGCGCTTCTCACGTTCTAATCTTGATCGCAGGTTATTGGAATCGAAGGCGTTTGATCGGCGTGCAGGGCGCGATCTGATCACGAAGGCAGTAGCCGAAGTACGGGAGAAAGTTCTCACGCATGCAGAGAAGATGCGGCATGTGTAGAAGCGGCATGCACTGATGGGTTGTACTCCATTGAGTTTGAGCGCATGGTGCTGTGGCACACGTGGTCGCGAATGCCTGATTCAGGAAGGCCTAGTTAGCCATGAGCAAGACCATTCGGGGACACCATCGAAGCAACGACGGGTGCTGTAGAGAATGTAGGCAGAATCGGAGCAGCGTTTGTAGGTACACTGCATTGGATTTACTGACAGCGTGCTTGCATGATAAGACTAGATATCCCTGGATTTGGGTTTCCTGTATCGTTTTAGTGCTTTTCTTGCTCTTAATAATCTTTACCTGTACTACCTTCTCTAAACTTGTACACGTCGCTAAACTAATTGTAGTTAATTCCGATAACATTTCCTTGTTTGTGGCATTTTCTTAAGGTATATTTTCTGACCTCTTGAACTTGACACTGAATCGTTCCTATCCAATTTATTTCATACGCCCATTTAGTGAAGTGTTAGCCAACATATCTGTACGCATTATCCGATTTATTTTATTCTATCTTTTCCGCTCAAGTGATTGGCTGTTGCCTTCTATCCCCGGTGTGGCTGCGCTTTATGTGCCTGTTGACAAGGTACCTATCTGTCTATTACCCACTACCTCATCCATACTGGCTCCAGGAGACAGTTGGTCGTTGCTGGAGGAGGCGGATGGCAATGTCCTTGTAATCTTGCTAGGCTCAAAGAATCGCTCCATGGGCTTAGTGTGGAGTGGACTACGGTCCAGCCACCGCCTTGTGTGCGACTGCTTCCCCAACTACAGCGTGCTTGTGTTTGTCTGTGAAGGAGTGGGGGCCGGCTCCGTTGATGAAACGTGGCTTCCATGCACATGCAACCCGGTCTTATTCCTTTGGATTTATACTGGATATGAAGTGTGTGGTTGGAGTTCTGTGTGGTGCATCGCAAGCCAATTATGGTCCCACTGTATGCGCAGACGTCCTGTGGCTAACCACAGTGACAGGCAAATCCGCAACCGGATGCCGCCTACCATGTGCATTGACAAGGTTGAAGGAAATTATTAATATAATGCCTCGTCTGCGATTGACGTTGCCCGAGTAGTCAGGGCACGGAGAAATTCCACGAACCCTAAGAGATGAGATTGTGAAGTTCTTGGAGAGGGTGGGATCAAGTTGATGGGCTAGAGACGGTGACTCTATTTAGTGAGAACTCAAACCAGGCGCGTGGCAGTGTTTGTAAACGAATTGTTCTGACATTTTACTAGCAGGACGCTTGCCAGACGGAAACCCACCACGTTCAGAAACACTGCCGCTAAACTATTGGCTGTTTCTTGTTTGATCCAAATCACAAAGCTGGCACCGCGAGGTGGTTCTTCGGCGAGTCAGCACGAAAGAGGGTTCTACCCACAAGATGAACACCAATGGTCCATTCAAACCGTTCAGCACTGTACCAGGACAGCACATACAATTTGTCAAATGCCGTCTGCAATTCGGCTCCGTGACCCTGACCTCAGTGCGCAGAAGGCATTGGTGCAGACTGCCCGTCTACCCTAGCCACAGATTTACGCAAGTAATCCTACACATCACTACCTTTTTCCTGCTTCTATACAGGTCGGGCTAATCAATCAGCCTAGTTAAGGAGAATTTCCGTTTCATTGACGCCTGTAACGCATTTGTTCATTTTTAATCTACACAGTTCGTTTGCACTAGCCTGCGGTTGCTTCACTGAAAAGTAGCTTGTTCACTAAGTTCTAACTTATTATCCGAGCATCAGTGGTGAGTTGACCCTGGCTACCCGTAGCTTGGCGGGTAATGTCAATCCGAGTGATTCCTGACTGCCCAGTCCCGCTAATCTGTCTAGTCTCTGCGGTCAGGCTTTGAAGCTGCACAAACGGAGTTCTAACTGGTTTAGGACGGAAATTCGCTTGTTGGGCCCAGTGGCTGGACGTTGAACCTTGATTTAAGAGCACGCTATTAATGAACCTGTGGCTGAGGGTCTCGAGCGTCGGTTGAATACTGTTGGGGTAGTACCAAATCTACCAACCTTTCTTGTTTGTCATTATCTTCCTCCCACAACATCCCTTACCTTGGTATTAGCTTCCTTTAGGTACCAAGCCACCTCGTATTTTTTCAGCCTGCCAATCACTATTTCTTAGTTTATATCAATCGGCTTTGCAAAAACGGCTAGACAGGAAATGTAGCGAGTAACGTTTCGCATAGGTGCAATGCAAGCATGTTTAATCCTTAGCAATGTAGCTAAGAAACTTGAGACTTCCTGCCTCAATAATACGCGGGAGGAACGCGTACGTGATTACACTAGGTTTCCGGTCTCAACTGAACTTTAACTGATTACTAACGACTTGCATCAACATCGCAGCGATTGGGAAGCGACGGAGTTACTAGGGTATTATTCTTATATTCCCGATATCTCTGTGAACTTACTGAGCCAATAAATTGTAAGCAATCAAATACTTAATTTTTTGACCAGCCCATTTAGCAATCCATTTAAATGCTCGTTAACCATAATGCGCTCTTGGAAAACTCAAATTCACTCGGCCACGCACTGCCGGCCTGTCAGTTTGACAAATGTAGTACTCAAGTTTTTGTAAAGCTGATAAGAGACTCAGTGGAGAACCACCTGAATAGATTTAACCTTCTCGGTGTTGCGCAACCTAGAATCCTCGAGGGATTTTCATGTCAAACTAATCTACTTGTAACTCGTGAAAGCTGGGCCGAAGCAGTAGACAGTGGCCACGTTGTAGACGTGCTATTCGTGGACTTTTCGAAAGCTTTTGGCACTGTTCCGCATTGTAGATAGTCACTAAAGTTGGGATCTTGCGGTATATCTGGTCGCGCCCTTCATGGGCCTCTACTTTCCTCGAGAGGAGGTAACAGTGCGTACGGGTAGGGTGTAGCGTTTCGCTCATAGAAGCTGTCCGCAATGCTCTGTATCGGGACCAACGTTGCTTGCGATCGATGTACATGACTTGCCGGGACAGCTAGGAGTGTCATCACTAATGGTTGCCGACGACCATAACTCTATAATGTTGCGATATCTCGGGGGTCCTGAGGTAATTCAGCCTGCCTTGGATAGGCTCTGGGAATGTTCTCAAACTTATGTTTGATGCCCATAAACAGGGTCAAGTGTCTGTTCTCCGGAAAAGAGCCGTTAATCCTTCCACCCGATATGTCTCGGAGGTGGCGAAATCCCTGTTGTCACCCAGCAGGTGGGTTCAGTGGTCGTACACTCATCAGCACTTCATTCCGGCGACAACTGGAAGAAGGCTGTCGGGGTTCGTATGATGCGGTTTAACCGCCGCCCTTTCGGAGTCCTAATGCCCAATTTGTTTGTGGAGCTCATCTCTGCACCGTTCGACCCCACCTGGACTATTATATCCAGGTTTGCCCACCATGTCTTATTCCAGGCGAAATGGACTTGGAGAGGGCGTTACGCGTGGGCATTCGGTTAGTGCAAGGTCTACGGGGACAGGCCTAACCGTAACGTTTGTTTAGTTTGGGGGTGTACTCCATGCTTTACCGAAGGATAAGAGGGGACCGTATTCCCAGTTATCCTATTTTGACCGTGTTTGGCGGAGCCTTGGATACTAGTCGGTAAGCAATGACACGTAAGACGTGTCAACTACGACAGTATAGAAGTCGGAGGCAACTGAACTCATCGGCCCAGGCCCGCTACGTTACCTAATCTCCGTGGTCACCCACTGAACCTGCGTAAACCACGGTATGCCAGGATTAGGACGGAGACTTGTCTATCGCGCCGAGTTATAGATCGCTGGAACTCGCTTCTAGATCACGTACTTAAGGCACCCACGGTTCAGGGTTTTGCGTGCAAGCTCGATGCACTTGGGTGGCAACACCAAGTCTTTCCTTTTTCCTCACTGACTCACCTTCATGTTTCAGTTCTTTTTTAATGACGCAATTACCTTGTCATTTTATTTGTTTAGCTCTTTCCACTTCTCTTCGTGCCTTCTGAGTTTACTTTTTTCTGTTTGTTATTTCATGTAACCCGCCCAGCAGGACTGCGAAGGCAGGATATGTGCTCATTAACTGATTGAACAGGGTGTGATGCGTTCTTTGTTTTAGGTCCATCAGTATTTTAAAGTCCGCCAAATCCTGGATCAAGGACTCGCTGAAGAAAGTACGCTCACGGGATAATCCTATCGTTCTAGATCCACTTGAACATGAACCTAAGTTTTTGGGACTGATGGACTAACATTTGGCGGGAATGGCTTTTGCATATGACGGTAATTGGTACAACTGAAAGCATTCAATGTCTCTGGCAAGAACTTAGACTAAAATGCAGCATCTACCTAAGATAGGTTGAGAAAAATTTAATTATGGTTAAATAAAACAAGCGAGCACGCAGGTTGCCCAGAGGAAGGATACGTGGGTAAAGTGAAGCTGATTTCAAAACAAGACTAATATATTCATGCTTGATTAAATCAATAATAATGAGTAACCGTTTATATTGCTTTGTGATTCCTGCCTGCCTAACCAGAGGTAAGTGTATTCTTGCCGTTCCTGTGATTGCATCTGCGATCCAATCACTGTTGGCGCACCCATATTTTCGCAGTTCAGTGTCACGTGAGTACTTATCGCCACCACGCTCTTGCTTTTTCGGACAGTGGTCTCCAGTTTGGGCCATTTGTGATAGCGCATTTGCTGCAGTTGGTTTTTCGTAGTTTGGAACCAACATCTGGCTTTTTCGTTATTTGCACAGATGTTTATAATGCGGAGATTTGGGTGTGTGCTTCTGGTCATGTCACAGAAGGTTTCATCCTCTGTACTTAATTCCCCAGCTAATGTCCCGTGGAAATTTTCACACCCAAACCTTGCATGCCTTGTTCGGGATGAACTCGTTATTCACAAAAATTTCATATCGTGTGTAGAAGAAGAAAATTTGGTGAAGGAATTAGATAGTCATTTGTCGAGACACAAATTTGAAAGCTCGCACTGGGATTACGTAAGCAAAATGTCTTCTGGTTTCTAACTATTCCTTTTGAGCCCCCTATAGCGCTTTATGATTAGACTTACGGGCTTTTTGCGCCTAAGCGTTTAGTTCGAAAGATGGGTCTTGTTTTTTCGCAATCTTCGCTGAGGATCTGGTGCAAAAAGTATAACAAAAAGGTGAATGTTGTACTCCGTCATTTAAGAGACATACTTTGTTATTTCGAAGAAGCGTGTAACAGTAGAGATAGCTAAAATGCGCTGACTCACGTTTCTATAAGCTCACAGTATGGTGTTTATGAATTGTTCATTGAGTTTTAGTGGGCGTTGACCGGTGGCCGAGTGCTCTGTGCTCTTGGTTTGCAGCCACAATGTTCGAATCCGCGTCGCAACGAGACTGGACCTTAACGTGGTGCGACGGTTTGCGTACCTCATTGACCCATTGAGCTATACTGGGTGATGCCTCCGAGCATCTTGAGAGCTACTCCTACCAGTTTGGTCAATGGTGAGAGGTCAGACAAACTCAGTCTCCTGGTCCTCCAGGTTGGGGTTTGAAATGGGATGGCGTCCATTTCTGTAAAACTAAATCACTGCCACCCCGCTGCCTTGTGGACAGGCTTTTGAGCCAAAGACTTTGGATGAGGACCCTAATCGTTCTCCTGTCTAGGTCTGGGCGCCCTGGCAGTATCCCAGCCCACATACAACCATGACATTTTCTTCAAACATAAACTTCATCCTGCATCGGCCGTCGCGCAGATTATCAAGGGTCGCCTTATCTGCTGCATACAGCAGGGCGGATAAGCGAAAGCATGCTACTGCTGACGCCTCCCTTCTTTCCTTTCCACCTTTTTCTCTTACTCCCATCCCGGCCCCTATTACTAACCTTCCTTCTATAATTCCCAGCTTAATTGACAGCAACCGAAGTGCTACTGGAGTAGTACCGTCTGCAGCCACCATCCCACAGCACCTATCGGACGCCTATCGGCAAAAGTCCCTTATAAGCCCACGCTGTCCCGTTTCCATGGCGACATTCAACGTCCGCACTCTAAGACAAACAGGTCAGCAGGCTGCACTCGCACGCACCTTGGACACACTGGGTGTTGATGTGTGTTGTGTGTCCGAAACTAGGGTTAATGACCCTAACGGGGTTATTGAATTGACTGCACCCGGCTTATCCTCTCGTGATTGGTTGCACGCATCCGGAGACGCCGATGCGGCACTCACGGGTCAAGCTGGTGTAGGTATCATTCTCAGCTCCAAGGCTGAGTCGTCGTTGATTGATTGGATTCCGGTGAACAGCCGTTTATGTGCAGCCCGTTTGACGACATCAGCTAAGGTGAATTCGCGAAGTAAAGCAAAACGCTGTGTTTGTGATTTCTGCTTATGCTCCCACCGACTGCAGTTCTAATGCAGTCAAGGACACTTTCTATCACGAACTGAACACGCTGCTACGCAGTGCTACTAGTCCAGATATTATAGTACTTGCTGGGGATATGAACGCACAAGTAGGGCGTCTGAGCTCTTCAGAAGCTCAGCTGGGTGGTAAGTATGGACTTAACGCCGAACGGACTGACAACGGCGAGCGTCTGCTGCAACTGTGTGCGGAGCACCAGTTGTTTCTTACTAGCACTGCTTTTAGACACAGTGGGCGCCGAAGTGCCACTTGGCGTCCACCTGTAGCTGGCCAGCGATGGACCCAAATTGACCACATAGCCATAAGTTACAGGTGGCGCGGTTCCATTCTGGATTGCCGCTCGTACTGGAGTACCTGTGTCGACTCTGACCATGCCTTGGTGCGCTGTCGTTTCTCCATGAACTTCACCGGGAGGCGCACAAAGCGTCTCCCCCGATTGGCAACGGAGAAATTGTCCCAGCCCTCTGTCAGGCAAGCCTATCAAGAAGCACTGCATAGCGAACTCTCGCTGTCTTGTCCTAGTGACACTGAACTTCAGTGGAATAGGATCTCGGCCACTATGCACGACGCAGGAGCATCTGTTTGTGGCACTATCAGTCGTCATCACACCAGTCACTGGATATCCGAGAGGTCCGTGAACCTTTTGGAAGCTAGAAGGCACCTCCCGGCTGGTTCTGAACACAATGTGACTAGACGGGCTATTAGGCGTGAACTAAAGCGGAGCCTACGTGCTGACAAGGAAGTCTGGTGGACCAGTCGGGCTCAAGAAATGGAGGAGGCAGGAGCAGTAGGCAATTACCGGAAGCTCTTCCAGCTAATACGCACCACTGGTCCGAGAAAACCAGGCGTCAGTGAGACAATCAGGGACAGCGCGAGTGCGCTGATACACAATAAGGAGCGCCGTATGGCTCGTTGGGCTGAGCACTTTGAAGATCAGTTCAGCTGGCCCCCTGCTCCCGGACCTCTTCCTACTCAGGTGATGCAGGACGAGCCATGGACGGTTAGTTTAGAGCCTCCGTCGGAGGCCGAGGTCCGAAACGCGATCACAGCCCTCAATCGTTTTCGTGCCGCTGGCCCGGATTCCCTACCACCTGCACTATTTAAGGATGGAGGTGAGGTCCTCTGCAAAGCACTGACCTCCCTATTCGAACGTATCTGGAACGAAGAGTGTGCCGGCTAATTGGAGCGAATCGATTATAGTGGCAATATACAAAAAGGGCAGTCGCACAGACTGTGCGAACCACAGGGGTATTAGCCTAACGCCAGTTGTGACAAAATTACTGGCCTCGATTATCGTTCGTCGCCTCACTGCAGAACGGAATCTCGGATTAGGGAAGAGCAGGCCGGTTTTCGCCCAGGACGTGGCTGTATAGACCATATATTTACTTTGCGGCAGGTGCTTGAGCAGCGCCACGCATACCGCAGACCGACAATAGCTGTGTTCCTCGATTTCAAGAGTGCGTTCGATTCAGTCGATCGAACGATTCTGTTCGAAATACTTGCGCGGAAAGGTGTTCCCACGAAATATGTGAACATCCTTCGTGCTCTATACTCGAACACTAGAGGCCGCGTCAGGGTCTATGGTGCCCTATCGGATAGCTTTTCGACTACAAGTGGCGTTCGACAGGGTTGTCCGATTTCCCCGTTTTTGTTCAATTTCGTCGTGGATTCTATCATGGAGTGTTCCCTTGCGGAATCTCACGATGTAGGTGTTGAAGTGCTGCCTGGTGAACGGTTAGTTGATCTAGATTATGCGGACGATATCGTCTTGCTTTTCGACAATGTTGAGGCGGCACAATCAACCCTGAATAGCCTATCCAGAGTGGTCCCATTATTTGGCATGCACTTCGCACCTTCAAAGTGCAAAGTGTTGCTGCAGGACCACCAGCCACTCGATGACCCCTTGACGCTTGCTAACGAGGAACTCGAGGTGGTTGATCAATTCACTTATCTTGACAGCTGCATCAGCAATGATGGGCGCATAGAAACTGACGTGAGCTCACGCATTGCAAAGGCCAGAGCTGCCTTCTTGAACCTGCATCATCTTTGGCGACAGAAGGGAGTTTCCCTCCGTCTGAAAGGCCGTGTATACAAGGCCACAGTGAGGGCCGTTCTGCTGTATGGTAGTGAGACTTGGCCCCTTCGGTCTGAAGATCTGAGGCGCCTTCAAGTCTTTGATCATCGTTGTTTGCGAAGCATTGCTGGTGTCGGATGGCACCAGCGTGTCCGCAACGATGATGTGCGTAGGCGAGTACTAGGTGGTGATGATCATGCTAGCTCCCTAGAACAACAGATAACACTGAATAAGTTGCGTTGGCTCGGGCGCGTGCTACGCATGCCTGGTCACCGCTTACCTAGGAGGGCCTTGTTCAGTCTACCAGGTGTAGGATGGCGCAAGGCTCGAGGTGGACAGAAGTTGACTTGGCAGCGGGAAATGAAGTCACTGACGACCAAACTGGGTGCCGTTGGTCCGTCTCGCCTTCCGGGTTGGAGTCCACGTGACTCACCTTGTGCTTGGCTCGAGACTTTACAGGACATGGCTCGCAACCGACACCAGTGGCGCGTCTGCTGCCGTCTCCTAATCGGATTGTCTGTTTAAAGTGTGTTTGGTGCTGAGTTATCTGCAGGGTAATGGCTGATTATGACGCGTGGCAGTGAAAGCCGCAAGGAAGCTGTCTCGCCGATGCCGCCTTATCTTTGCACGATAGCCAGCTGTTTGTGACAGCATGTTGTCTACACAAGGTGTAGGCGCCTTGACCCTGAATGTTTGCTTAGGGCATTAAGGTTTTCAGGTAAGTCCCCCTTCTCTCCCTCTTCTTATTCTTTATTTCGTAGGTCCTCATGGTTGTATGGCAGCAAAGCATCAGTTCAAATGGCTGATGTACTGCTGTTGATGATGATGATGAGGGGTTTGTGTCCTCGTGGTATACTCAGCCCTCGCGCGACTGGTGACTGCGTGGCTGCGAAGCGCCGTTACGGTTTACGGATGGGGATTGTCATTATTTTTATTGTAGGGTGCGGTGGGAGATCCCATGTGAGCCACATCACTTCCATTTTAAAATAGGAGCACATGTCGCTGCGGCCGACAGTCATATGGGTCTGGAGCAGTCGCAGCAGGAGTGTACGATTTTGATGTCCTACGCAAGTGGGAATCCAACTGCCACTAAACTTTCCTCAGACTGAACGTTCTCCAGAAGACACTTCCAGTCTTTTATCACCTGGGTGTATAGGGCGACTAGAGTGAACACTGAACCTCGGTTCAAAATGCTTCAGATCGTCAACTCGTGTCGAGCTTCCTGTTTTGAGGTTGAAAAATTGCCAGTCCGTAACCTTAAGCTAACGAGCTTGCCTTGTAATATGACGGCACGGGTCGAAATTACGCAGTACTAGTCAACCATTACCGTACTAGTAGTAGGCGAAATCAAAAATCAAATGAAAATAATAAGGCATATTCTCGATGTTACACGAGGCACACCAAAGAAAGCATGAGTAACCTGTACAAGTTTTCCTTGTCATCTAACGGCGCGAGTTCGAGCTTGCGTAGGAGCAGGACGACCGTCGCAATGTATTTAGCCCGCATACGACCGTTGGTGGTTGCGCGG